ATGTATGTATGTATGTATGTATGTATGTATGTATGTATGTATGTATGTATGTATGTATGCAGTTTTTTTTTTTCTTTTCGCTTTTCATATCATGATCTCAAGTAGATTCCATTAAGCAAAGTAAAAAAATATCTGTCATATACACTTCTAAATTATACAGAACATCTCTCATTAAAATTTAATTTTACTCATCCTGCAAAGCAGTTTGTAAGTAATAATTTGTTTAGAGCTACATGTACCATGAAACCTTGATTGAACGAACCTCTATATAACAAGAATAGTTGTTGATATAATAGAGACATTATATAATATAGCAATTTTAAATAGGAGGACAAAGCAAGGTAACCACCTTAGGCTGCCGCCTTGAAATTTGAATTCACGAAAAAGGCATTTTATTATCGTGGCTGCCTTGTTTTTAACCATAATTTACAGATACTTTTCTTTAGTTCACTACTTTTTGGAGTGATTTTTAGTGAATTTTTATCTAGCTTTATTATATAGAGGATATTACACAGCGGCCCAAAGATACGAATTTGATTTTCGAATGGTAAAACCAATACTGTATTTTACGAACGAGCGCAAACTGTGCAGTGACCTTTTGTTTAAATAAAAAATGTTTCTTAATTACTTATTGAACTGTTTGTCTTTTGGAAAATCAAGCGTAATATATTTCAGAGAGCAGAATGAGTCATTTCCAGTGCAGGATATGAGGGGGGGGGGGGAGGGGGAGACAGGGGGACCAGAGCCCGAGAGAATAGGGGGAGGGAGGCGTGAGAGGAAAGGGCGGGAAGCGGCAGTTCTAAGAAAGCGGGAGTCATTTATTAAGCGTTAAAATACTTTGAAAAATGAGCTCAGCCCAAAATTTTCCGACTTACATTTAGCATCCACCCAAGATGTAACAACCATTTTTTCTGTTAATTAAACAATTAACTAACTGATTAATTAATTGATCATGACAGCAAGTTATTTTAATTGTGATTGCTCGTGATCGTTCTGCACGCGTGTTGTGTTACAAAACGTGTTTCCTTTGTGGTCTCTGCCTTGTGGTGAGAGGTTATCTGAAAACTGAGACATATGACAACCTCTTAGGCTAGCTAAAGAAAGCGCCGTGATAATAAGAAGTTCTTAAAATTAATTCTGTTCGTTACTATACTAGGATTACGGCAAATTACATCATAAACCTTGGGGAACTCGTTCCAACCGGTATTTCTACAAACTTTACAATACCTGAAGAACATCTTTATATTTTCGTTATTGAACCGTGACATAAGACACGAGCTGACATGGAAATTTAAGCCTTCTCAAGCGCGTCAAGCAGAGAACTTTGTACTCTGACGCGAAAAGAGAACGCTGTCAAGATGGCTCTCACGAAACAGTAACATGGGATCATTTGCTATTCGTCGGTGTCAATGAAAATAAGCGAATTTTGTTTCGATTTCCGACCTAAAGGTAATTTTTGTCAACGGAATTCAATTTGTGTTATCGACTTGCTGTTTGGTCAAGATGAATATCGATAGCGCAAGGCTATCATGACCGCACCTGGGTTCTTATCTGCGTGCTTGAACGATCAGAGGACACTAATTAATTCCTTCTGATGAGCTAGATCATGATGTTTGTTATTTTGAGAGATTCCTGTGTCAGTTCGTTCTGCTGATAACACTGAGATTCTTTCTTCTTATGTTTGTACTCCTCTTAATTTGCCGCCGGGGTGGACAGTAATTGATTTACAGAGATGAGAGAGATAATTAGATGCTTCACTTTAAAACTGTTGTCAGATTTCTGCGCCGGCTTTTTACTGATAAGGCACTTTTCAACTGATACGAGTTGTTTTTCCTCAATGACCAGCCGACAGTTATTAATTTCGAGGCAAAGAGTGAGATTATTTTGTCTGCTCGATCGTTTACAAGATTAAAAGCTATCCGAACACCCACCTAAACATGGTACTCTACGAAAGAGGTTGTCTTACAGTTGTAATTATGTTTGTAACAAGAATATTACAAAGGTCTACAAACCGCGCAAACACGCATGCAATGATCTGCGGTTTTTTGAGTATTTCCCGATCTGTTATTGAAGGATCAAGTTAAAATCACGGCAGGTAAATATCGGTTATGTATACCCCAATGCATCAGGAAATAACCCTTGTATAATCTATTTCATGAATTAAACACGTGTCATTGACAGTTTTAGTCGTGTCCGTGTGGGAAATGATTCGTTTATACATGTCGAATAAACAGCGCAATAGATTAAAAGTCAAACTACAGTCTGCATAGGCAGGAAATAGTGAGAACATCAACATTACAAACTTCAGAACTGAAAGGAAGAAGTGGGGTATCTCGTGTTGTGACCTTTTATTTAGGAATGGGTTTCCTTCAGATGTAATTTAAGGCGTTTAGTCAGGAATTTTTCCTTTCTTTTTAACAACAATCATCACTTTAAAAAAACACATTAACTGCAACCGTATAAAAAACTGCATTTATCAACAAATACAGAATAAAAAAAATGTATTTAATATCGATTGATGTATGTGCCTCTCGTAAAATGTGTTATGTTATTGTCGTTGCTTTCTCGCGGAATTCAGTATTGATAAATTAAACAGAAAAAAGAGGAATCATAACAAAAATCGGATTGTAAAATCTCTAAAAATAAATGCAAAACTAGCTGCGAGCGACAGTGTCCAAATTGGAAATGAACCATTTGAAAGAAATAAATAATGAAGGAATGATGTGTTTTTAAAACAGATATAATGCTGAATACAGTCCTTTTTCCCTTTCAGTTCTTTTTGAGGTTTGGGTTGGTTATAAAAGAAGGAAGAATTTGCAACATCTGAACTACGGGTAACCTTGTACGTGTGTAAACAATCACGTCGTTAGTTACCGCGCAAAAATGCCCTCTTGAAAACTGTAAATTGATATTTTATTTTGCTTGTGGTATCGGATACCTAGTAATAATTGCCAACTCAAAACAGAAGGTAGTTGACATGAGGCGTATTCAAACTCACTACGAAAAAAATTTAATCCGTGAACATTGCTGTTGACCTTATCCAAATCTTCAGCTGACCTGGAGTAATGGTCTCTTTTTGCTTCAAACGCTCGGAATCTCGCCGACAAGACACGTCCCCATAATAGTATGTGATTTTTGGACACTCAGGAAACACAGGATCACGCAGGGTAGACGACAAAGCGAAACGTACCAACCAAGATTTGGAAATGTTTCGGAAGATGTTTTTCCTCGTCTTCTTTTTTCTTGGCATGCTGTGGGTAACACAAGCCTCGCAAAGTAAGTCAAAATACTATTTGTTGGCCATGTTTTCTGTGCATTGCTTCTTTTAAGCAACGCTCTCGGGTGAGATCTGAGAACACTACCATTTCCTAGCTGTGAATTCTAAAAAAAACCGAGTATAATTATACTTGTCGAGCAAAAGTACTGATGTGATGATTTTAGGATACTTATGAGGTATCAAACGTCTCTCCAAAAAATTTAATTAACGTCTAACCTTCTCCTAATCATGGCAGCAGTTTATTCGCCACACCGTTTTCTTATCTTTGATAAAATAATAGTGGCAGGCAACAACCAGGCAACAAGTTTTGAGCTCATAAGCGATCAATAGTTCGCCAAGATCCAAAGCAATATGCTAGTCGGATTTAATAAACGCCCTTACTAAATGCAAAAGCTCGTACTTACGGAGGGAATTTGGTTGTTCTGATCCCTTAGAATAATACTGGGCTGCATCAAGTTTCTTAACCATAAGCTTCCTATGGCCTATTCTTAGCTCGACTACTCAGGCATTTCGGATGTCAATTTGTAAATTAACCAGCTTTCACTTCTACTTGTTGTTTTTAGATTTCGACAAAAACTTTCCATTATCTAGGTTTACCGAGGAGACCTGGCCCTTCAGCTTTGTTTGTCATTCTGTTTCAATCATTTCAATTGTTCTCAGTCTTGCTTTCAAAGCAAACAGATGCTGTGTCTGTAAAACTACTTTTCTTGGCGCGCAGATCAAAAAGTAAAGATCAGATCACTCTATCGTGCCAACTATAGGCGTTTTGATCGTTTGTTTTAGGCCGGCGTAATTATGTTGCTACGTGTAAAGTACGTTTGTGTGCAGTTCAGTCAAATATCTGCCAAAACGCCCTCCTTGAGCAAAATATCGAAAACCACATAGAACACACGAAAGCACCGCTCTATATAGCTTTCGTTTGAGTGGCTTCACAGTAGGGTTTAAGTTACAGAATTTAGTTGGAATCTCCTTGTATAACGTGATATATAAACAGCGGCTCATGAAATTACTGCACAATAGCTTTCATTTGAACGGTCTCTCACTGGGGCTTTCACCTAGGACCTAAAGACCTTACTCGACTTCATATCAAAATTTGACTCGAGGCCCCGAAGTGAACCAGATCCTTTGGAGAGAAATAGCTTTGTGCAGTGCAAAGGTAGTGAACAAGAACTGTACGTCACGGCTTAGGCACAGTTGAAATTCCTCAGCTGTGTTAAACACTTTTCACAGCTTATTATGATTGTTAATTTGGCCGACGGCCTGCCGCACCCGAGTCCGTTATCAACTTCCGGTAAACTGGAAAGCTCACTGCAGGTTTCTAAAATATCCGAGTGATACTTAACAGACGTTTTTGTCATGCGCACGCACATCCAAAAGCTCACTGCCCAGTTCAGAAAAAAGGTAAAAAAGGACTACAAGGTCACTACACAACTATTTTTTGCGTAATCAGCTAAAGAAGGAACAATGTTCAAGCGAAATTTTCATCATAGTTCACCTAAATTTGTTCATTGTGAGTCGGGCTAATAATTTTCTCAACGTGTAAGGTCAAACAAATTAGGCTGAAACTGAAAAGTGAAACTGAACGGTGTTAATTAAATTCACATGTTTTGTGAGCAGGGGTTTTTCCTTCACCTCGATTCAGGATTATTGCTGCGGTGGCATTATATTGCAGTTTTCATTTCGTTGCTTTAAGCTACACACGTTCTCCTATGACCTAGATTGGTCTCACCATTCCTAGCTGGGTTCAGTAAGTGAAACACAAAATAACGCTCTGTAATCTTGTCGCTCAGCTTGCGTAATCTATTTAGGGACCGTTCATTTTTTATCAGGTAGGGGGGGGCTGGTGGGATTTGGGGGGGGGCCATGCGAAAAAAAATGGCTTTCGAGGGGGGGCCATCCCAAAAAATAAGGGAAAAAGGG